TCTCTTGGCAGGTTACTGGAAACATCTTTTTACTGGACCAATCTGCAAATCAAAATCTGGCAGAGTGTTTGAACAAAACCAATTGCCCCAAGCTCAAAGTTCCTTCACTGCTGCTTCTCCTCTCCAAACCCTCATGTGTCAACTTTGAAAGCCAAGTGCTCCGGTTTCCGTCATGATGGACCCGCTGACTACTCTTTGGCCTTGGGAATGGCTGCTTTAGCACTGACAGCGCTTTGACTGATGGGTCTATGCGATGCTTATGTGAACAAAACCAGCCCAGACACCTGCCTCTCCTCCTCCTATCATCCAGCCCCTCATGAGGAGCCCCGGAGAAAGACCCTACCCAGCCCGCTATAATCCCCACTCCCATTCACCATCAGCGCTAATCTCCGGGCACCACCTCCCCGCGGCCACCTCAACCTCCCCACTCAAGAGGTGCACAAAAGCCCGCTCGCACCCCTGCCCCTCCCGGCACCCCTAACCTGCTCCGCCCATCGCCCCGACAGCAGGAGGTACCCAGCTTTCTAAGTCCCAAGGAGCGTAATCCGGAGGGGCTGGGATTCGGAGCAAACCCCAAAGGCTCATTGAGTGTTGGATAACTCTCTCGGCGATCCTAAGTCGTGCTGGCATTGTTGGCGGTGCTGAGAAGAGGACAGACACAAATGGAGTTGGAATTTCAATGTGCATAATGATTGAGAGAAAGAGACAGCGGAATATGGAGTGGTGGTCATCCAGGCGTTACAGGGACTGCCGAGGCGGAGGTAAAGGAGGAACTATACATGCAAATGCTATGGAAGAGTAGTCATTTTCTCTCAACTGTGCCACAATGGACAGACTGTTCGGAAGTGTGCAAACAGGTGGTTGTAACCTCATGTAACAAAAACATTTATTTAATGTTTAGAAGAAAACAATCATTTTCCAATAATGCACAAGGTTGCATTACACTACATTCAAACTAGACAGTGGGTGAAATGTCTTGCCAAAGGTCACAACAACACTTTGCACTAGAACTCACTGCTACCCAATCCCTGTATCATTCGTTCATTCATTTTTCAAAACAAAACCAAAAATAAGAAAACAATAAAACAACTATTTTCTTTATTATTTGTCCCCAAAACCAAAAAAAAAAAAAAAAAAAAAAATCATAATAACGAATAATGATTCTGAGTGAGACCAGTCCAGTCTCAGTCCTGGTCCCAGTTCTGGTCTCGGTCCTGGTCTCAGTTCTGGTCTCGGTCCCAGTCTGGGCCCAGTTTTAGTCCCGGTCTGGTCCCAGTCCCAGTTCCGATCTCAGTTCCGATCTCAGTCCCGGTCTCAGTCCCAGTCTCAGTCTCAGTCTGGTCCCGGTCTGGTCCTGGTCTCACTCCTGATCACCCGATAGTCTACATGGGCGTACCTCTGGGCCCGTCTTGATACTCAGTCTTGGTTTAGTCCTGTTTTAGTCCTGGTTCAGTCCGGCATCGCAGTTTAAGTCACGGAAATGGGAAACTGTTATCTGTTTTTGTCCATTATTAGTTTAAACACAAAATCGAAAACTGAAAAAACTAATTATTATCCATTTTGGTTTTGAAGACAAATAATGAAGAAATGTTAATAATAATATGTTTTCATTTTCTTATTTTAGGTTTTATTTTGAAAAGAAATGAAGGAATGATACTTGGATTCTACCCCACTACGGTAGCAGGTACTCCCAGCTGTCTCCCATCAAAGTACTAACCAGACCAAACCCTGCTTAGCTTCCAAGATCAGACAAGCACTGACAGCCAAGATGCCTGATTACTGATTCTAAAGAGGTTTCACAGAAAATAAATACACAGATCGACATGTGGACATTGATGAATGGACAGATAGCACAGATAATAGAGAGACCCCTTGACTGAAGTTGAAAAACACTAGGACATATGTGTTACAGCCTTTGGTTGGCCTTTGATTCAGTCATCGGTGGACAGCCTTACCATTTCAGGATCTAATTATTTTACCTCATTACTAATATGGAAGGAAAATAAATAAATAAATAAATAAAGATAGGTCTTAAGTATGTAGTTGCTAACCTATATGAAATTTGGCAGTGCTTTGGAGTTATTATCAAAAGTTGTTGGCATATGGAAATCCAAAAAAGGCTGGGCAGTGATTGTGAGCCTGAGAGATGAGGGGTTTTTTTTTGTTTTTTTTTGTCAGACACTACAATAAATTATTTAAAAAATAAATAAATCATACAACAGTAAACAGAGACTTTATCCCATGTTCCACTCTCAACTCCAACACAGTCAATGTTCTACCAGCCTCTTTCCTCACCACTCTGAAGATGCTTAGCCTCCTCCTCCTCCTCTTCCTCCTTTCTACTGTACATCTTATTTACCGGAGCGCTCCTTCCCATAACTCTCCATTCCTGTACCCATAAACCATTGCGAGTCTCATATCTCACTCTCCCCCTCTTATGAATAAAGTCCTGAAATTTATTGTGATGGCATTGAAGAGTAGTGCCCCCCCTCTAGGTGACAAACTCCCCCGGGCTCGTCAGCTTGTGGCGGTCCCCGGTCCACTCCGCACCCTCCATCACGGCCGTCCAGATGGGAGCACCCACTTTATCGCTCCCTGGTCGGTGACATCACCCCGCCCGCCGCATTGCATCGTGGGATTGATGATGAAAGCAAACATATCTATCTTAACTCAAATCAATTTTATTTTTACAGACCCCCAGCTCGCCGGTCTTATTGGCATATTGACGGTGCGTACGGGAGGGGCGGCGGGGGGTAGAGAGTGTTTTTTTTTTCGATGGCGTTTACCATATTTAATGCAAAAGGGATGTCATCACTGAATATCCGTTCTGAATAATGTGGCGTTTCATCATAAATTCTTTACAACTTATTTACTTAATGGAAAGACTTATGGCGGGCTGTCAGGGCGGTAATTAAACATGGTGATACAGTGCTGCGTCGCTAGCATCTCATCTCGGGCCCTGCTCCTCAACCCCCATACCCCCCCTCCCCAAACACACACACATATACACACATACACCCCCCCGCCACCCCCCATCTATCCGTCTGGCCCGGGACAACACACACTCCCACCTTTTTAAATACATATTATTATTATCCAAGACTCATAAATTACAGACAGATTGAAATTCATGATAATACGTCTTATTTTATTTTCTTCTATGGGAAAATAAGAAGAATATTGAGATCGTCCAGCTGCTTGTAAATCTCGTCTTTTGGTAAATGAATATTTGCTTTAAAATACTGCGCCATGTTATAGAGAAAGGCACATCAAAGAAAGAGTTTATTGAAAATATGTGGAAACTGAATTCCAATGATTTAATGATATACACTTAAGAGAATATTTACAGTTTTTATCCTATTTTTCCAGGCAATGATCTGTATTTCAAAGAGCAAATTCCACTAAACAAAATTTCGTATTGTTATCTGTGGTCTTTTGTGATGTGTGTTTGCTTTCAAATGCGAAAAACAGAGAAAATTAGTCAACTGGACTAAGTTAGAGAAGTTGAAAAACATCCCAAAGACGTTCTCAGTTCTGAAGCCAAACTGCAGGGGACTACATTTCCAACTATTAGTCAAGTCTTCCAAACTCAGCCTAGTTGCCTAATTCTAAAATTTTGCTAAAGGCTGCTGGATACTTGTGACTTTTTGCATTCATATTTTGACATTTCAAATTTTATGCAACAAAGACAAACAATTTTGGCCTGAGATTGTCTGAGATCCACAGTTACTTGTCCAGTCACTGTTGAAAAAAACACAAACAAACAAAAAAAACACAGAGAGACATAGAGATATCACCTAATTCTGAATTTGACAGGCAGCATTAGTTGAACTGCCATGGCCAAAAAATGAGAATTAGAAGTTAACGTCTTCTTGGCTTTCTCATAAACCTAAAACTGGTTCATTTTCACTCTTTTATTTGTTGAGCACACAACTTAATGAATCTCATATGCCCACAAAGGAACAATGTGCTGAGAGTGAAGAGTTAATTCCAGCCCTCCAAATTAGGGAGGACCCATTTGAGCAGAGTAAATGAGGCGGATTGTCTGTCTCCTGCTCCATAAAAGCTGAGCCACTGACACTGACGGAGGCCACACCCGACCTTTGACCTTGTCCTGTGACCCCGGCTTCGATCCCTTTATGTCGCTGACCAATATGTGATTTGCCAATGGCCGCTCGGGGTCCCTAACCGTGCTGAGAGAGGGATTTATGGCTTTTCATTTTAATTGAGTTAAGAGCAAGAAGCATGTCTGTTTTCTTTCAACTCCACGGGCCTGGCCTGACGTTACATCACTGGACAACAGCAAAATATACACGGAGAGTCCTGGTAGGTTAAATGTTGGATTGAGGGCAAAAGGGAATAAAAATGTTTGAAAGCTGGAAGACAGTTTTGCTCATCCAATACCTTGCATCAGAAACCTGACAGACGTTTGTTTGACAATTTTACAATGACACGCATCTTCATCCAGTTGTAATGATTGAATTGAAGTACTGAATTATTTGTTGGCCTATGTCCACAAACAACGAACTTTTAGTGTTGGGAATTTCAGAGACGTGTCAGAGAAATGAGAAGCGTGAAAGTTTATGTGTTTTCAGTCCACTTTTAGTAAGAATTCTGCATGAAGTTTTATAAATGAGACTCCTGTTTCCATAACAAACACTGGATCAAATAAAAAAAAAACTTGAAGAATTGAAGATGTTTTGCCTCATTGATTCTATTTTGAAGCTCAATAAGGGCTTCAAACTAGTTCCAGTTCAAAACCTGGATAACCACTTGCAAGATAAACCACTAAAACACAATTTGATTTGTTTTAGTTAAAAAAAGAAGAATTAATTAGGATTGTTTGATAAGGACTATAGTCGACAATACCTCTGCTGCTAAATGTGCTGTAATAGGGCATTATACATTTTCCACACATGATAAATATATGCAACAAAGATGCACAAAAGCACTTCGAAATACCATAATAAATGGCATTCTAACAGCTTTAAGTGTCCTACCTCCCAGCCTTGAGTGCGATCCAGAAGACACGACGTCTGCTCTCCGATATACGGTCCAAATCTTTCTCCAACCTCTACCTTTCTGTGAGTCCAGACACCCAACGCAGACCCCGAAACTGAAGACTCTCTCAGCTCAAAGTCCTCAGGAACGCTCAAGTCCTCCTGAGTCCAAACCAGGCCGTGTGAGTGGAGCTGGAAAGATGGTGAGATGTCTTCTTCAGACAGAGCAGGAGATGGCTGGTCTTCTGTGAGCGAGGAGAAGTGAGATGGTTGGACGTTGCCATTGGAGACACATGCATCGTCCAAGAGCTCGGCCGGATACAGGGCGAAGTTCTCATCTCCGTCACCTGGAAGAAAAAACAGAGAAGACTCCAAGTGAGGGAGATGTATGGTGGGTATATAGTAGAAACATTTTGCAAAAGTCCAAGGAGCAATACATGAAGTTCTTGGAAGTGAAGCAACACACTCGGTTGAAAATAAAAACATTTGGTTGAGAATAGAGCCCGACCTGATATGGATTTTGCTGTGGCCGATATGAAACCGATATAATGGGAGTTGGAGCTGCCGATAGCCGATATAATCGCCGATATATTTAGTGACGTAAAAATTCACTGTAAATGTTGAATTGTTTAAAAAACTTAGGTTTGGCTCTGGTGGATTTTAAATTGGGTTTATTTAGGCAACATTTATTGTTATTCTGCCTCTTTACATCATATTTACAGACAGTAGGTTGGTTTAATGGCATTTTTGCATCACATTCTAGACACTCGTGATGGGTATTCCAGTTCTTTTTAGAGAACTGGCTCTTTTGGCTCGGCTCACTAAAAGCTGCTGGTTCTTTTGGCTCCCAAGCGGCTCTTCAGATTGTTTTGTTGCAAGCAGGTCTAAAGCACGTCTAAAGCAGGACTGAACCAGGTCTAAACCAGGACTGAAAAAGGACTAAACCGGGACTTATTTATTTTATGCTAAACTACAGCCAAATATGCTCCTTTTTTTATCCTATGCACACGCAAATTTCTCAAAGTTTCGTTTTCAGCCGCTGCTGCTGTCAAACTACCACGAGTCTGCACACGGCGTGAAGAGAAAAAAAGTGAGAGAAAGAGAAAACACGACTCCCAGTAAGGATCAGGCTCCCGTCGTTCGCTTCAAAGAGTCGGCTCTAAGAGTCATTTCGTTCGCGACCGACCCATAACTAGTAAAGAAACAATCGCTATTAGCCTTTAGCCGTAAATACGTGCGCGCCGCGGTAATTAATTATATGCGCAAATGTCATAATTCACACGTCTATTCACAGCTCATTTACATATCAATGCAGGTCCAGTAACAAATATACGGCCAATATAGTCACTTTACAATATGCCAATAGAAAACAGCCTGTTTATGTGCGGGAGCTACAGCAGCTAACCCATACAAATGACCAAAACTAGCTTCAAAGTCGACATATTTCCAACACTCACCGCTCACACAGGCTCCTCCTCACATCACAAATCTGCACTAATAAATGTCCTTTTAATCCAGACTCAAACCGATTGTCCGTAAAAAGAAAATAATCTCAGTGTTGCGCACCGCTGCGGGTGTGAAAAAACGCACGTGAATGACGCGACTCTGTGGTGTGTTCAGGGACAGTATGGACACACACAGACAAATTACTCTGTAGATAAATACTGATGCGGAGCCACATATTAGGACTTTTATCTGTCTGTAAATTGGATTAAATGAACAGAATGTAGAGAGTCTAAGATTTTTAACGATGTATCACATGCCCACGTGAAATATCGGCCCCTATCAGCAAGCATATCGGCCGATAGCCGATATGCCTTCAGGTGCCCATATCAGCCGATAATATCGGCCAACCGATATATCGGTCGGGCTCTAGTTGAGAATAATAAATCTACCTTGAAAATTTCATCATCTTTTTTTTTTTTTTTTTTTTTTTAATTCAATCATGGTTCATAAAAAAAGGACTTCCAATAAACGACTTCCTTTTTGCTGCTTGCTGTAACTCCATTCACCTTCATTCACACTTCATCAGAATCATTTGGATAATTTCAGCTCCAGAACAAAAAGGTAAAAAGTAACTGTTAAAGCTTCATGACATCACAAGGTGGCCTTTTAAAATGTCATGTGAAGCCACCAGGACAATTTACAAGTCCAATTTGTGGAGAAGCAATTCTGCTAAATGACATTTTTCAAGTTATTTTTGAGCAATATAAACACCTGTTGAATACATAGATACATTAAATACATAATAGGTAGGCTTAATGCCACACTCTGGAATATTATGGGCAAAGCAATCATCATCTTTACAATGATTACGATAAAAGTGAAATTAAAAGCCATAAAACAATTTTTCTACTACAATAAAAGAGCTCATTGATTTATAGGCCCATATTATATAACTCGTATGTAGCTGGCAGCAAGTTTAGAGCGAACCATTAGAACACAATGGAATCAAGATGATACTCGCATGCACTAACCACAGAATATATATTATAAGATAATAATAAAGTATCAAAGCATATTCACATTTCATAGTTATGTTAAGAAGAAATATTGAGAGTCATTTAAATCTAGTTATAGAATGTAAAGTGTCCCATAAATACCAGATACCAGTCCACATAGCATTGCCACACAACTGTAATACAAATGTAATTGCAATCTGAGACGCAGCTTGTTTTCCCATTCATGTTCTACAACAATGACAAAGCCCACAAAGCAGCCCCTTGACCCTCATCCTATTTGAAATGGAAACACGAAGTTAGTGAAGCGTACCATGTCTTCTCGCAATAAAGATCCGTTCAAATAAACATCACAGGAAGAGCTTTTCAAACAAGAGTGTTTATCACGTGTTAAAACAATTTCTTTTTATTGATCGTGTCATGAAAGGCTGTAGATCACCACTTTCTTCTCAGGCCAGACATGCACTAGAAACTCAGAGAGCTCGCAGAAAAAAGCCATCTGAAGTTAAGTTGCGTTTCTACATTGTATGATATGGCTAAAGCGCAACAGCACAGTCTACACACTCAGTAAAACATCTTGGAGGCCATTTACTGTTAGCAGGCTTGCATCTCCACAAACTCGACTTTTACTTGGCCTGAAGGAGAGTCTCCATTTGTTTTGTTTCTTTTACTTGTGCCTCCACTCAATTTCATTTCTCTCCAGTGACTAGGTCAGGCAATACACTAGACAGTTTGCAAAAACCCCGGAAGTGCAAGTTCAGGCACCAGACAATCAGCGAAGAGCCATACATTCTGTGTTGGCAATGATTCCTGAGATTGAGGATTTAAAGCCGGAACAAAGAGAATGTTTGGTGAATTTTATCAAGGAGAAAGATGTTATTGCCCTTCTTCTTCTGGGATTTGGGAAAAGCTTAATATACCAGTTACCCCCGTTAGCGGTGCATTACATACATCACAACCAAATAGCAGTGATTAGTTAAATGAAAAAAAGTACCTGCCTACTGTTGAGCAAACAAATTCTAATGCTGAGAGGTCAGATGGTTTCTATGAAGTGAAACCAGCTGATGAATCAGGCTAGAAGGCATGAGCCACCTCTAAACGTTCTCTCAAAAAGTTTCATCTGTCACCTGTCTTTTACCAGCTCTACCTCTCAACCAGTCACAACCCTGTTTACTAAATTTCCATGTTAAATTTTCATGATCTTGTCATAGTATTGTGATATTACTGCGGTCTGTATACCAAATCATGAGGGACATCTGTAATTCCCAACCCTACTTCAAACATTGCTATAAAGCTTTCACCCAAGACCATACCATAATCACATAAGCTAAACCACATTGGTCTAACACCCTTCCCAATGTTCAACTGCACAACGTCCACATTATTGAATTGCATGTCCTGTCCGAGTATTTTCTCTCCGTAGCTGTACCTGACCGCTCTGTGAAACTATTGTGTTTGACACTCTCTGTGTGGGCCTGGCTGTTTGAGAAAGACTCTTAAAGGCTATGGAGATCCTGAAACCTGAAAGCGCGTAATGATTTTCAGCACTGAGACTGTGTAACGTGGTTAGAGTCCTGAACCAAGGGCTGGCCATATGGTGAGGGGACGAGAGCTTTTAAAGGTAACTGTATCCATCCATTGCCATTTCCCCTCTCACGCTGCTCTCCAAGTTTATATTTGATTTAGCGCAGAAATTCCCCCGCTTCACTGGACTCAACAAGCGCATTTCAGCTCATAAACATATACGTTTCTATAAGGTAAACTCCAGCCAAAAGCAAATATGCGATGTGCAGGGTTTTAAAAATTGTGGTTTCTTAGTGCAGTTGATGGATACGTCAAAGAGCGTGGCAGTGCTTGGACCGCGGGGTGGCCCAGTGAAGAGAATGCAGGCTAGTGTGCATGCTATGAGTGTGGGCATACTTAAAGCTCTGTTTATTTGTGCGGTAATGGACATGACTTCATCAGTGCGAGCTGACGCCCTTCATCAAAGAGGCCGCGAGGGCACTTGAGTGGGCAGAGAGGGGGGAACTCCGGCTGGGATCAGAGGATAAACTGCAAGGTTATCACAAAACACTGATAAGACAAGATGATTAGCGGATACTTTGATGTAGGCAAAGACAACAAAGAAAGAAAAAATGCACTGGCTTCCAATTTTATTTTATTCACTCCCCACACTTGGTACTACAATGTGGACACAGCTACCCAAGGACTGACATAGACATTGTTTCCATTATGTTTTTGACGACCCCCGATCACAGTCCTGACCAAGCCCAGCTCAAGATCTGCAGAAGGGTCCCACTCATCATGACAGGTTGGGGGATGGGTCAAATGCAGAATTTCTACTGAACATTTTGAGAATCTGAGAATTTCTACTAATGCTACTGAGACAACATCCTGTAGTACACCATATCTCACAGACTCAGACATTCATACTTTGACAAAGTAGAAGTTAGGTATCTTGGCCAACTGCATGACTGCAGTATATTCAATAGTCAAATCTGGGATGGAACAGCTGCACGTGCTGTTATTTGTGGGTTTCTGAATGAGGAAAAAATTGGTCCATTAGCAACCTTAGCAATCACTTAAAACATAAAATAGTACGCCTTTTGAATGGTAAAGTCCTCAATCAATGTGGCATGCAACAGGGAGCTGAAACGCGTGAATACGGCCAGCACAAGTACTAGAGTCACCTTTGAAAAAAAAAAATCTATCAGTTTTTCAGTTTCTTTATTACCATACACAGGGTACAATGTTATGTCTTTAATTTAATATAAATTTGAGCCCATAACTCCACTGACTTGACGTGCAATTGTAAATGACATTAGTCTTTTACTAAGGCACAAGACCTTCAAAGCACTTCACGGTTTAGTGCAATTACTTTAATTTAC